CCGGTTCTTATCTTGGGTGCCCAGAGTGTTTCAGGCGCCCAACCGCAGATATCCTGCTGTTGGGCATCTGTCCTGCCTTGCCTCTGACCCTGCACTGCTCCAGTCTTGCAAAATAGTGTTGCCAGCATTATGCTAGGGCTTTATTCTTTCATTCCCCCATTTTTCTTTTAGCTTAGAATGGAATCCTTCATTCTACGGGTCTAGGGAGAGTCAATCTCCGTCTCCAGCTGCTTGAGTTGATGATATTGCTGGGTTAGCACTAACGTCTGTATGACGGAGAGCCGGTCCTTTATAAACTGAACTAGCCGATTTAGGATACAAGGCCCAACTAGCAGAATCAGGAGAATTATGATTAGGGGACCCATAATGGAGGAGATCAGGGTGGTAATCCAGGGGGACCGACTAAACCATCTCTCGTACCAGCTCTGTCCTGACTCAAAGAATTGCTGTCTCTGTCTGAGTCTTTTTCTGAGTTTAGCCATGTTATCCCTTACCAATCCAGTATGGTCAGCATAAAAGCAACATTTTTCCTTTAAAGCTGCACATAGTCCTCCTTTTTGTAAGAAGAGGATATCTAGCCCCCTTCTATTCTGCAAGACTACTTATAAACCTATTAGGGCCCCCCCCCCCGAGCCAGTCTTATCTTTAGTGGATTTTGGGTGCGATGGAGTTTTCATGAGGAGGCTGGAGTCTGATCTTGCTTTGCGTCGCGATGAGCCGCTTTGGCATGGGAGGCGTGTACCCATGCTGCGATACTGTCGACCTTGAGCGCCGTCGGGGTTGTTAGCAACACAGTATATGGTCCTTTCCAGCGGGGTTCCATGTTCTTGGTTTGATGTCGGCGGACCCAAACTGTGTCTCCGATCTGGAACGGATGCGGCACCACCGGTCGGTTCAGCTGTTCCTGGTATGCAGCAGCGATGGGTTTCCAGACTTCTTTCTGGACAATCTGCAGTGCCTGCAAATGAGCTTTTAAAGAGGGGCTGTCAGCAAAGGAGGCTACACAGGGATCAAAGAAGTTAACGACCGGTGGTTTGGCTCCATACAGGATCCCGAAAGGAGTGAGTCCATGGGGGCCCGGGGTGTTCCGGGCCCGGTATAGGGCCAATGGGAGGAGGACCACCCAGTCTCTAGAGCCAGTTGCCAGCGTTAATTTGGATAAGGTCTCTTTGATAGTTCTATTCATTCGTTCTACCTGCCCTGAGCTCTGGGGACGATATGCACAATGTAATTTCCAATTGATCCCCAACAGTTTGGCCACTAACTGACTTACCTGGGAGACGAAGGCAGGGCCATTGTCAGAGCCCAACGCCTGGGGCATGCCATACCTGGGGAAGATTTCTTCCAGAAGCTTTTTGGTGACTATTTTAGCAGTTTCATGTTTGGTGGGGTAGGCTTCTACCCATCCCGAGAAGGTGTCCACAAATACCAGTAAGACCCGATATCCATAGAGTCCAGGTTTTACCTCTGTGAAGTCAATCTCCCAGTGGGTGCCGGGGCGATGTCCCCGGATCCTGGTCCCCGGGCCTACCCTATGGCGTCCTGCATTTACTTGGGCGCATGCTGTGCACTCTTCAGCCACTTGCTGTAGAATTTTATCCCTCCCCAGCAGATAGTGGGAGCTTTCTTCCCTTTTTAGGAGGGTTTTTATTTTCCTGGAGCTAAGGTGAGTCAGTTTGTGGAGGTATTTAATCAGGTTACGAGTCTGTTGCAGGGGCCACACAGGTTTTTCTTTGAAAGTCCAGAGTCTTAGCGTGGGATTGTAAGTGGCCCCCATTTCTTTTAGGAGGTCCTGATCTTTCTCACTATAGTGGAAGGGGGATTCCTGAATGGAGGGGACCTCTGCCTCGGCCGGTTCTATAGCCAGGAGCTGGGAGGTATCTGAGCTTCCTCGAATCGCCGCTTCTCAGGCAGTTACGTCCGCCAAGCGGTTACCCCTGGCTTCTCGGCTGTCTCCCTTTTGGTGGCCGGGGCAATTGATGATGATCAGTTTTGAGGGTAAAAACAATGCTTTAAGCAGGGCCAATATCTCAGCTTTATTTTTGATCTGCTTTCCTTCCGAGGTTAGCAACCCTCTTCTCCGATATATTTCCCCATGGATGTGAGCAGTGGCAAAGGCATAGCGGCTATCGGTATAAACATTGAGCTTCTTACCTTCCGCCATCTGGAGGGCCTGAGTTAGGGCGATGAGTTCAGCCCGCTGTGCTGAAGTGCCAGGTGGTAGGGCCTTAGCCCAAATTACCTCAGTCTCGGTGGTGACCGCGGCCCCTGCTCTCCGTTTTCCGTTGTCCAGAAAGCTGCTCCCGTCGGTGTACCAGGTGAAGTCGGCGTCAGGGAGGGGCTGGTCGGTCAGGTCGGGCCGGGTGCCATGTACCTCTGCGAGTATCTGGAGACAGTCATGAGTTTCTGTACCCTCCGGTAGGGGAAGCAGTGATGCCGGATTGAGAGCTACTATAGGGCCAAAGTATACTCGATCAGTGTCCAGCAGTAGAGCCTGGTAGTGGGTCATGCGGGCATTGGAAAGCCATCGGCCCGGAGGTTGTTTGACCAGGGTTTCCACTGCATGAGGAGCCAAAATCGTTATTGGCTGTCCCATAGTCAGCTTGCCAGAGTCTTTAGTCAAGAAGGCAATTGCTGCCACCATCCTCAGACAGGGTGGCCATCCCGAGGCCACCGGGTCAAGTTTCTTGGACAGGTAAGCTATCGGACGCCTCCATGGTCCCAGTTTTTGAGTCAGGACTCCTTTAGCATATCCCTGTTTTTCATCCACAAACAGCTCAAAGGGCTTGTTTAAGTCCGGAAGCCCCAACGCGGGGGAGGTTAGCAGGGCCTCTTTTATGGCTGCATAGGCTCTCTGCTGCTCATCTCCCCACGTAAAGAGAGTCCCCTGCTTGGTGAGTGGGTAAAGTGGCGCAGCCATTTCCGCAAACCCTGGAATCCAGAGGCGGCAGAACCCCGCCGTACCCAGGAACTCTCTTAGTTGTCTCGGGCTTTTGGGCACCGGAATTTTTAAGATTGTCTGTTTCCGCGCCTCTGTCAACCATCTCTGTCCATCTCTGATTTGGTAGCCCAGGTATGTAACCTGCCTCTGGCATAATTGGGCCTTTTTGGCTGAGGCCCGGTATCCTAGAGTTCCTAAAGTCCTCAAGAGGGCCTTTGTTCCCTCCTGACATTTTTCCTCAGTTTTCGCAGCCAGGAGGAGGTCATCAACATATTGGAGCAAGATTAAGGCAGGGTAGTGAACCCTAAAGTCGGCCAGGTCCCGGTGCAACGCCTCATCAAATAAGGTGGGGCTGTTTTTGAACCCCTGTGGGAGCCTGGTCCAAGTGAGCTGGCCCGACATTCCCAATTCCGGGTCCTTCCACTCGAAGGCAAAGATGGGCTGACTCCGAGGGTGGAGCCTCAAGCAGAAGAATGCATCCTTAAGGTCTAATACCGTATACCAGGTGTGCGTCGGAGGAAGCCCAGTCAACAAATTGTACGGGTTAGGAACTGTAGGGTGTATATCCTCTACCCTTTTATTGACTTCTCTCAAGTCCTGCACTGGGCGGTAGTCTCCCGTCCCTGGCTTTTTGACCGGAAGGAGAGGCGTATTCCAGGGGGATTGACAAGGTACCAGGATGCCCTGGTTTAAAAGCCTCCGAATGTGGGGCCTAATTCCTTGGTAAGCTTTATGCGACATCGGATATTGCTTAATGGAAATAGGAGTTGCCGATGCCTTTAAAGTAATTACCAGGGGCGGTTGGTGGGTTGCGAGACCCACTCCCCCTGTTTCTGCCCAGGCTAAAGGGAATTTTTCTAACCAGACAGTCATTTCTTGCGGCTGAGGCCTTTCAGGCTCGTGAAGCTGGTATTCATCCTCCAGATTCATGGTTAACACATGTAAAGGCTGTCCCTGTGGCCCAGTAATGTGGGCCTTAGTCCCTTCAAAGTGGATTTGTGCCCTGAGTTTTATTAATAGATCTCTCCCCAACAGAGGATAAAGGCAATCAGGAACATGTAAAAAGGAGTGAGTCACCTTACCGGTGGCGAGTTGTACTCTTCTTTCAGTTGTCCATCGGTACCTTTTCCCTCCGGTGGCTCCTTGAACCCACGCCGATTTGTCAGTCAGGGGTCCCGGTGAGGTGGTGAGCACCGAATGCTGGGCTCCAGTGTCCACCAGGAAGGTGGCGGGTTGCCCCCCCACATTAAGGGTTATCCTGAGTTGAGGGGGAGGCTCCTGACCCCGACTCCCCTAATCCTCCAGGTTTAGCAGGGTGGCCTGGGGCTTAAGCTTCCGTGGCCCTTTTGGTCTCTTTGGGCAGTCTCGGACCCAGTGCCCTTTTTCCTTGCAGTAGGCGCACTGATCTTTGTCTACCCGAGGGCCCCTGCGGTCTCCCAGGCCCTGTCTATCCTGTCTCTGTCCTGTCACTACAGTGGCCAGCAATTTGCTAAATTCCCTATTCCTCTTGCGGTCTCTAATGTCCTCTCTCTCTTTTGCCTCTTTTTTTAACCTTTCGTCTCTCTCTTTCTGAGTCTTTCTCTTGTTGAAAATCCGCTCCGCCTCTTTCAACAAATCCTGGATTGTACTTTCCCTTAAGTTCTCAAGCCTTTTTAATTTTTTTTCTGATATCCGGGGCAGACTGCCAGATAAAGGACATGGCCACATTGGTAGCCTGGTTAGGGTCCTCCGGATCATAGGGGGTGTACACACGATAGGCTTCCTTTAGTCGTTCTAGGAAGGTGGAGGGAGATTCCTCTGACCCTTGGGTCACTAACTTAACCTGGGCCAAATTAGTGGGGTGCTTTGCTGCCCCATGGAGACCCGCTATCAGCAACTGGTGATAGAGACGTAAGTGATTCCTACCGTCCTCCATGGCGAAGTTCCAATCAGGTCGTTCCAAGGGGAAGGCCTTGTTGATCTCGTTTGGCAACTGAGTAGGCTGCCCGTTATCCCCCGGAACGTTTTTACGGGCTTTCAAAATGACCCGTTGCTTCTCCTCGGTGGTCAGGAGGGCCTGTAACAGCTGCTGACAAACGTCCCAGGTGGGCTGGTGGGTTACTAAAATGGACTCGATTAAAGCAGTGAGTCTAGAAGGGTCCCTAGAGAAAGGGGGGTTATTGTTTTTCCAGTTATATAGATCTGAAGCGGAAAAAGGCCAGTATTGGAGCTGGCCGTTGGGTCCCGCTCGTAATGGGAGAGCCTGAGATGTGGAATCTGGAGGGGCCTCTCGACGCCCTCTCAATCGCCCCGCCATCGGGGAAGGAGCCGGTTCCTCCTGGGGTCCGGGTGCGGCGGCTTCTCCCGGCTCTTGGTCCCTATAGGGAGGAGGTTCTTCAGTCAGCAGGTCCAACAAGGGGCCATCATCTGCTGGCAGTACCGGGGGCGTCGGTGTCTTTTTGCCCCCTGGATCACGTCCTTGGGTCTGCTTTGTTATAGCTGGGTAGAGGGCAGACTTAGAGGGTGTGGGGACCAGCGGAGGAGGTAGGGCAGGGGCAGAGGGAACAGCAAGGGGGCTGGGGGTGACAAACGGCTTGACCCATGAGGGTGGTTCCCGGGCCAGGGCTTCCCAAGTAACAATGTAGGGTACCTGGTCCGGGTGGACGTGTGGCCCTAAATCCATGACTTTCGCCTTAACCTGCAAAATAATATCTAGGTTAAAGGTGCCATCTCGTGGCCAGCCGCCGTTAAATGTCGGCCATTCTGAAGAGCAGAAGGTGTCCCATTTTCCTTTCCGGATCTCTACAGAGTGACTACGAGCGATGTTCTGGGTGTCCTTCCAGTGCTGTAGAGTGAGGCTTAAGGGGGTAGTTAGAGACTGTCCCATGGTTTCAGAGAGACTAACACCAAACACAAACCCGACGAACAATAGACAGACAGTGACACAAACGCAGTGCGTGGCACGACTCTGGCGCCAAACCGGAAACAAAACTTCAGATGGAGACTGTGAAGAGGGTCCGGATCCCTCGTCTCCCAGAAGAGACACGTAGCCCTCGGACAGGGGCGAAGCCCCAAAAAGTCCGGGTTGGGTCGTGTCTCCAAACAGATGGGCCCCCAAAATCGGGCCCCCAGACACTCCTGGGACGTCTCCCAAGAGTTGCGGAAAAGAAGTCCGATCTCGTCAGCTCCTTCTAGTTTCCGCCTAATACGGAGAGACTCAGCTGAATCGTACAAATTTCAAGAGATAGAACAGGCAACAAACACGTGACGGAACGAAGACAAGAGACACTCTGCTGGCCAGCTTACCTCCCGATGATGGGTCGGTGGTCCCTGGGCGGGGGTCTCAAATCTCGGTGGGACCTCCAAATGAAAGACTCCCGCTAGAGCCTCTCTAGACGGGGAGACCCCGCTTCCCAAGGAACAGCGAGACCAGCCTTCGGATGCAAGCCGCAAGAGGTTTATTTCGATACACGAGTACCCGGGGCGACAAAGCCTTTCGGAAGACTTGCGCGCCTCTCGGTTGGGGTGACGGGTTTTTATAGGGCTCGGGAGCAAGAAGCACGGTTACAGAAGCGAGAAGCATAGTTACAGGGATCTGATTGGGCGGTTTGAACAAAGCCATAGTTAGGTCACGTACCCGGAACAGGGAAGGCAGAAAGGCAGATGTGAGCTGAGTCACGTACCCGGAACAGG